CTGCAGCCGGTGTGCTGTGGCCAGGAGGCACAGCCAGGTGCTTCTCCTGGTCTCCCATGAGGGGGCAGGGCCTAAGGACTTGGGCCATCCTCCACTGCACTCCCTGGCCATAGCACAGAGCTGGACTGGAAGAGGAGCAACTGGGAAAGAATCCGGCGCCCCGACCGGGACTAGAACCTGGTGTGCCAGCGCCGCAGATGGAGGATTAGCCTACTGAGGCACGGTGCTGGCCCAGTCTTCATTTTATCTCTCTCTAGATTCTCACTTTTTAGTCTTTGAAGATGCTCCAACCCCAGTGATTCTACTCTTAAATTGAGGTGTCCATTAACATTAGTCCAGTTTCTGCCACTACAACAAAATATTTGAGGCTGGGTACTTCATAAAAAAAAGAGATTTATTTAGCTCCCAGTTTTGAAGGCTTAAGTCCAAGACTGAGTTGATACTATAGTTTGAACATGACTTGGCTTTCTAACTCACGCAGATATTTAATGGCCAAAATCTTATGATATTGATGTTAACAGGGTGTTGGCTTGATCCAATTATGGTGTCTGAGGTGAGGCCTTGGGAAGTGATCAGATTGGATTAGGTTGCTAGGTTGGAGCCCCGAAGATCAAATCATGATAATCTTATTGGCAGCATAATCCTGGTCTTTCTGTGTCCTGGCTCACCCTGTGATTATTTCTCTGCACACATCTCAGCATCCATGGGACTTATTAGATGCCGGATCATTCAGGATGCATAATCTTGGACTTTTAACCTCCAAGGCTATGAGCTGACATAAACCCTTGTTTCCTAGATTGTTCCTTTCAGGAATTTTTTATAGCAACAAAAGCTGATTAATGTAGGCCCACTATTCAACCACCGGTGAGGACATGAGGTGGATGGTATCACAATGGCAGGAGCATGTTGTGGAAGAGATCACACAGAGAGACAAAAGCCAGAGAGATTCAGGAGCTAGTCTTGCTCTCCTATCACAGCTCATTAGTCTCTTCTGAGGGCAGTGGCTCCAGTGAGCTGATCTCCTTCTGCTAGTTCCACCACCTCACCACCACCATGGTGCAGACAAAGCCTTTAGGGTATGAAAGTTGGTAGACACACACAAACCACAGTATCATTTTTAATAAAGTACCATGTGGTTAAACAGTATACCTTTTACTATATGAGTGTATAGTGGCATTGTACCAGGGAATATGTTCTAACTCCAAGGAATATATTCCTAAGAAAAATGATTTGGATATATTGCTTATAAAAATATTCACTTTAAAAACCCAATAACTTCCTCTATTGCATATATTTGCAATCTAATGGGCTCTCTATCTCTGCAGTAATCCTCTAATACAGAGTTAATCTGGGATGCTGGCACTTTTTTTTTTTTAATTAATAACTACTCCTCTAGGCCAGTGCTGTAGTGTAGAGGGTAAAGCTCCCACCTACAGTACCAGCATCCAATATTGGCATCGGTTCATGTCCCGGCAGCTCCACTTCTGATCAAGCTCTCTGCTATGGCCTGGGAAAGCAGTAGAAGATGGTCAAAGTCCTTGGGTACCTGCACCCACTTGGGAAATCTGGAAGAAGCTCTTGTCTCCTGGCTTCGGATCAGCACAGCTCTGACTGTTGCAACCATCTGGGGAGTGAATCAGTAGATGGTAGACCTCTCTCTCTCCGTCTCTGCCTCTGCCTCTCTGTGACTTTGCCTTTCAACTAAATAAATAAATCTTAAAAAAACAACAACAAAAAACACTACTCCTCTTTTACAACTCAACTCAACTTCTCAGAACCTTTATGGGCCACCATATTTGCTACTCTCTGGATTCTCTTCATACACCATGTGTGTCTTTTCTACTGGGCTGCTATACTTTATATTTATGTATTTGTTTCCCCCACTAGATGATGAGATTCTTTAGGGCAGACATTGGTTTTTGTGTTGAATAACTCCTTGGTTTTAAGCCCAGTGCCTGATGCATAATAGAAACTAGAGAATGCCCCTCGCACAAAGGAAATGGTTGACAAAGCAACAAGTACATGTATGAGGAAGAAGGTATGCAGAGTTTTCTCTATGGTGAAATATTAAATGTCTATCTCAAGCTTGAAGAAATGAATCTTCAAAGCAAAAATTAGATAAAACAATCATTTGGTACATGTCTTTAAAAAGACAGAAAAATGGTTCCCAAACCTTTAGATTTTCCTTTCAAGTTTTGCTCATTACTAATAATATTCATTTCTTACACTCACTATATATGCTCTTGTCCCTCAGAGAGTCAAGGCTTATTTCTAGTATGGCATTATGGATCCCTTTCATCCAGTCCTAGATAAGATGCAAGAAATCTATTTAGTTCATGGAAAGAAGTGCAGTTGCTGTTGGAGACTCTACAGGCTTAATGAACTGCATGTTCACTTTAAAGGCTAATCCAAACCAAGCAGCATTAGCACAAATCTGAGACTCACAATGCTGTTCAGACATGAAATGCCCACTGAGAATCTAACTGGGATTCCTAATTGATAGCATCTCCATTTATGGGGCAATAGGACTGCATTTATCGCAGTGCAATATAAGAGTTTGTACTGACTGAACAGAGAAGCTAGCTACATCTTCCTATGATGCTATAGCTTAGTTTAGCTATTAATTTGGCAGTTTAGCCGGCACCGTGGCTCAATATACTAATCCTCTGCCTTGCAGCACTGGCACACCGGGTTCTAGTCCCGGTTGGGGCACTGGATTCTGTCCCGGTTGCCCCTCTTCCAGGCCAGCCCTCTGCTGTGGCCAGGGAGTGCAGTGGAGGATGGCCCAAGTGCTTGGGCCCTGCACCCCATGGGAGACCAGGAGAAGCACCTGGCTCCTGCCATCGGATCAGCGCGGTGCGCCAGCCGCAGCGGCCATTGGAAGATGAACCAATGGCAAAAGGAAGACCTTTCTCTCTGTCTCTCTCTCACTGTCCACTCTGCCTATCCAAAAAAAAAAAAAAAAAATTTGGCAGTTCTTGGGCTGTAAATCATGGACACTATTGGCTTAGCATTCATGTCTGGTTCACATCCCAGCAGTGGCAGTTCACCATCTACAATCATGTTTCCCATTTGTGGTCCAGCCCAGCTGGAGAGCCAATTTCAAACACAATTGCAGCCAGGTCAGACAACAGGACTGATAGTCAAATGTCACATCCTCTGAGGTCCTGGGAGACCATCTACTTTGTGAAGTATTAAAACAAATACTGTGAGAAAATAAGAGTGGATATGAACTAGACTCCTTTTTTTAAAAGTTAAAGCTTATTATCAAAGAATATTCTAAATCTTGGAATTTATATAAGAATTAGTCTAGAATAGTCACATTGACATTTAACAGATGAAACTTTCAAGAAAACACAGAGGAAAGATCAAAGAGACAGGTATTTGTAGCCTGACTCTGCCAATGCCACCAGCTTTGGAAACTTGTGACAATCATTTGATTTCTGGGAGCCCTCAGGTCTTTATCTGTAAAACAAGCATGGTAACGGTGACTTCATGGGAGTGTGTGAATATTAAGTGAAATGATGTATGCCAAGTAACTAAGACAGTGTTTGGAATATTGTAGATGCTCAACAAATGTTAGACATTATTGGCAGAAGTAAAGAAAGATGAATTGAAATGCAGAAAAGAATAATGAGCTAGTATCGGAGAGAGAGATCTTGGGGTGGGCATTAGATGCAGCAGTCAGGATGCTACTTAGAATACCCACACTTCATATCAAAATGCCTGGATTTGACTCCTGGGTCACCTTTGCTTCCATTCCAGTTTCCTACTGATACATACCCAGGAGGCAGCATCCAGCCACCTATATGGAAGACTTGGATTGAGTTCTCAACCCCAGCTGTTGGAGGCCTTAGGGGAGGAAACCAGTGAGTAGGAGGTCTCTTTTTGTCTTTCCAGTAATTTAAAAGTCTGTAAGCACATAGGCAGTGTTTTTTATAAGGAATGAGGACTTTAAAAATCAAGACAATTACTAACTTCAATAAACATTTACTAAATTCCTATTATTTATAAGACACTGGAAAAGAGAAAAATAAGATATTCTCACTTCCCTTAAAAGAGCTTACACTGTGTGGGGAGATGAATAACACACACACACACACACACATTATATATATATATAGGAAGAAATATAGGAGAAGATCAAGAATTAGAGAAAGAATAGAACTAGAAGAAAAAGGAGGTCTCAAAATTCTTCCAAGAAAAATGTGTGAAGAGCAAACTGGATTGAGTGCTGATAGGCTGAGAGGCAATAAAAAGGGCTAGTATTTTATGAGTATTTCCCTCTGCTAAGCATGGTTTCAGATACTTCACACATCTGTGTTCAGTACATTATGAATGCAAGATCCATTTCTTGGATAGAAAAATAGTAAATAGAGGTGAACTCTGAATATATTTGGAATTATTTAAGAAATAATGATAATTTTAGTATTCACTGATAATATTTATATCATGTTTATCATGAATATGCTCCAGATATATGTAAAAAAATATATATATATACTTCTTAGATTGATTTTATTTATTTCAAAGGCAGTGACAGAGAAAGCAGGAGAGACCAAGAGTGAAAGAGAGTTTCCATCTGTTGGTTCACTCCTCAAATGGCCAGACCAAAGCCAGGAGTCTGATACTTCATCTCAGTTTCCCATATGGGTGGCAGGGGTCCAAGTACTTGAGAATTCTGCTGCTGTTCTTCCAGGCACATTAGCAGACAGCTGGATGAGAAATGGATCAGCCTATGTCATAAAGGGTGGTTTAACCAGATGCCTATGTCATAAGGGGTAGCTTAACCAGATGTACCAAAACACTGGCCACTGTTTCAGATACATTTATAAGTGCTTCACATACATTCATTCATATAATCTTCACAACAACTCTACGAGGTAGGTATGATTTTAATCTCCATCTCAAATATAAGGAAACTGAGATGGAAACTGCCTTCAAGGTATCCAAGCTAAGCGATAGAACTGGATTTGTGGAAACAGTACTTCACACTCAGATAGTCTGGCCTATGAGCCTATGTCCTAACCCCCTGCTCTACTGGGGAGGAAGAAAGGCCAGACTGTCTATGATAGCTACAGACACCAGAGCTTACAGACAAATAATAAAAAGAAGAGAACCCAGTTCATGAGACCATCAGAAACACAGGTGATAAGGAGACATAACAAAGAGAGATGAAGAGAATGAAGAGGACACAAGAGTTAAAGGTTAAGTGTGGCTTTGATTCCCATGGAGATGGGGGAAATGGCACTGCAGGAAAGGTGAAGCACACGCTGGAACTGATCCTTAAAGCTCGGCAAGCAGGCGTTGCGATCCAGCAAGGAGCACCCCAGGGATCTGTTACGGATAGTGAACACGACTTCGGAGCACAGGATCTGGTGGCACGAGTGTCTGGCTTCCAATCCTGACTTTGCCAAAACAGTTTTGTCACTCTAAGCACAAAATGTACTCCTCTGTGTTTTAGGTTTCAGGCAATTTATCATGAGATGGGCTTCTTACTAAGCTCCTTAAATGCATTATTGTATTTATTCTTCCCTCACAATATTATGGCAGATGTACAAATATCCTTAAATCTCAGATGAGAAAAGTAAGTATCAGTGAATTTAAATAACTGATGAACATCATACTGTGAGCTAGAGGGAACTGAGACTTTAACTGGTTCTATCTGATGCCATAATGTTTTGTACTATTATACCACCAGGTCGTACTGCTTGTCTAATAACCCAGTGACATCAATGAGAAAAAACAGGTCCTAGAACTGTATGTCCAACCCACAATTATGGGTCAAGTCATAGGAAAGTGGAAGGCTGAGGACAACTCCAGCAGGGGTGCTGGAGACCAGTCATTTAAATCGGCTACGTGTGTAGCACAGACCCCAAGGACACAGTTGGAGTCATTCCCCATGTTGTGAGCAATTTTTGTTTAGGGAGGCGAGATACACTGGGTGGATTGTTGAGGTAAGGAACATACAATAGTGATTTAGAAAGAATTTGATAACACCAGTTTGCTTCAAAATGAGAAAAACAATGAAAATGAATCTCCATTGTTTAGCCTTTCCTAAATATGGAAATTATATAGTTGTTCTTTTAAAGGTAGAGAAGGTATGTTGAAGCACTGGTTTGCAACTTGGGAGGTAGATTTTTTAAGAAAAGTCAAATTTTAGGGCACATATACAGAAATGACAGATCCTTTAATTTTTGGCTTGGAAAATGGTGAAGTACAAAAAGGTCAAATTGTTTCTAAAGTGTTATTGCAGCTTAACAAGTGCCATCAATAATTTCTATGTATAAAAGGTATTTCCAGATACACTAATATTGAAAACAGCCAAGCTAGGAAATTTTATTAAAGCAATGGTAGATATAATTCATTTAGGTACTTGCAAAAGGTACAATAGGTCAATGAAGACCATTTGACCTTAACACTCCAACATGCCATTTATTCTGCTTCTGCATGATCTCTGTAATTATCAAAGGTTTCAGGAGAAAATTTCCTTACTTCAAATATGTCAAAAATAGGAAATGCAGGATACTTTCCAGCTCTGGACTGTTCTATCAGCAAGCCCCTGTTGAAAGGCTATTATGTATTCAAGGCACCATTCTAGGTATCAGTTTTTCCCTTAAAACATTTTCAAGCAATTGGGGCTACAGTTGTGGCACAGCAGATTAAGCTGCTGTTTGCAACAGCAGTATCCAACCTTTGAACACTGGTTTTAATCCCAGCTGCTCTGCTTCTGATCCAGCACCTTGCTAATGTACCTGGGAAAACAGTGGACGATGGCCCAAGAGCTTCAGCTCCTACCACCCACATGAAAGACCCAAACGTAATTTGTGACTCCAACCCCGAGCCTTGCAGCAGTCTGGGAAGTGAACCAGTGGGTGGAAGATCTTTTTCTCCCCGTCTCTCCTTTCTCTCTTTGTCACTGTGCCTTTAAAATAAAGAAAATGAATCTTAAAACAGAATTTTTCCAAAATCTGCCTCTTAAAGATTTGTCAAATTTGAATTCTTATGAATCATCTTTTAGACTTCCAGAATATCTCATAACTCTCCACCAATAAAATAATACTAATCTTGTTTCTCACAAGATAGACTGGTGAAACAATTTTCCAGAAATCATAGAAATATTTGAATTTACTGTTCTATTATTACCAGTGTGTTTATTTGAGTGGGTTGCCTTTAGATTTAAGTTTGCATAAACATTTGATGCCATAAGTAGTGTAAGTAATCCTTGGACCCTATAATTTTAATCAGTGAGATTGATTTTAGAGAAGTTAGCATGTATGGGAACAAAGATTTACTTATGAGAATATTCACTATAATTCTATTTAAAATAATGAAAATGTACAGATTTAAGTACCCAACATTAGGAAATTGTCATCCTGTGATTATAAAAACAACAGCAGACTATGTATTATACAATCAACTTTAAAATACCCTGGGTTTCAGTGCTACTGTCCCTGGGACCTATCACTTCCCTGCTGTAAAGAGTTGGATCAATCATTGAACCTCTACTGTGATCTATTTCCTCTTTTATGAAATGTGGTAGTAACAGTATGTATCTTATATAGTTGTGAAATTTAGATGAGACAATGCATATCAATGTACTTCACAGTAGTGACTAGCATAAAGAAAATTCTAAATAAATATACAGTTACTATAATGCCATTACTGCAATCATATAGTAGAAAATTAGACAGTAATTTTGAACATTGTGTGAACATTTTAATAAAGTCAGTTGTGAGACTGAAGTGTAATCCTGTTTTTAAAATGCAAGTAAAATAATTGAAAACACACACACAATATGCTAATAATTGTTATTTTCACAGGTGGCATAATGGGTGGCTCTATTATTTTGTAGTATTTTATTATCAATTTTTTGCAAACTTCCTTCAAAGAACATGAATTGCTTTTATAATAGAGTGTGTAAAGCCAAAACAATAAATAAAATGCAAGGCATACATTGATTCATGACAAAGTTAAAAGGGTTTTATTAGAAGTCTCTGTCATCAGTATGTCAATAGTTCCTGAGGCAAGAGATGCTAATGACACCAAAAAGACCACAGGGAGAGAGAGAGATGTGGAGGGAGACTCCATGTATTCAATATAAAGTGATAGGATTTGTGGTTGACGACATTAGGACCCGAAGTCAATATCTGCTGAAAACACAAAAGTTGCAATTTCACATTAAGACTAGTACTACTGAAGTACAGAATAACTGTTTTCTAAAGACCTGGAAATATACTGATTTTTACCTTGCATTAGATACTCATACCATGGTCCTGATTAAAGTGATTAGTTTAATTGTGCTTTCGTTCAGGCTATTTTTACTGTAAGTTCAGTTTCAGAAGCCATTTCAGGATCTCATGGCAGAAGATAGGAGGACACAGTTTTGGAAAGATCTCCCAATGAAAATCCTCTGGATTCAAGATTGGTAAATTCTTCAAAATTTTATTTTGCATTTATATACTCCATTGTATGATGGCTATGATCAATTCCTTTCTCTTCTGTTTGACTGTGTGGTATTTTTCATGATGATACTTCTGATTCATACTTCAGTCCCTGGAGCATTGTAGGTGCTCACTAAATTTTGATGAATGAGGGCCGGCGCCGCGGCTCACTAGGCTAATCCTCCGCCTAGCGGCGCCGGCACACCGGGTTCTAGTCCCGGTCGGGGCGCCGGATTCTGTCCCGGTTGCCCCTCTTCCAGGCCAGCTCTCTGCTGTAGCCAGGGAGTGCAGTGGAGGATGGCCCAGGTGCTTGGGCCCTGCACCCCATGGGAGACCAGGAAAAGCACCTGGCTCCTGGCTCCTGCCATCGGATCAGCGCGGTGCGCCGGCCGCAGTGCGCTGGCCGCGGCGGCCATTGGAGGGTGAACCAATGGCAAAGGAAGACCTTTCTCTCTGTCTCTCTCTCTCTCACTGTCCACTCTGCCTGTCAAAAAAAAAAAAAAATTTTTGATGAATGAATGAATGAATGAATGAGTTACAATGAGTCATTTAGTGTCATGGAAACCTAATTTTTTTTCTGCTTGTAAATTTCAGATGTAGGACTGGGTTACTTGGTTTCAAATCTTTTCACATAGTAAGCATTTTAATAAATGAAATCTGTGAACTCTGATATATTAAAAAGTTATAAGTGGAATCTTAGGGTGGGCATGTGGCCTAACTGTTAAGATGCCCTTGTCCTACATTGGAGTGTCAGAATTGGATACCTTGCTCCAGTTCCTGACTCCAGCTTCCTGCTAATGTAGACACTGGGAGGCTGAATTGACAGCAAAAGTAATCGTATTCCTGCCATCCATTTTGACTACGACCTTGTATAAATATTATCAGAGTCGGTGAACTCAAAAGGCTTCCATAGCCTTGGCAGCTCATGACAAGAGCCTAGGGTGATTACTGAGGCCATAAACAAGAGTGTCAATTTGTTAAGTCAACAACAGGAGTCACTGTGCACTTACTCCTCATGTAGGAGCTCTGTCCTTAGTGTGCTGTACATTGAGATTTAATGCTATAACTAGTACCCAAACAGTATTTTTCACTTTGTGTTTCTATCTGGGTGCAAACTGTTGAAATCTTTACTTAATGTATGCTAAACTGATCTTCTGTATATAAAGAGAATCGAAAATGAATCTTGATGTGAATGGAGGGGAGAGGGAGTGGGAAAGGGGAGGGTTGCGGGTGGGAGAGACGTTATGGGGGGGAAGCCATTGTAATCCATAAGCTGTACTTTGGAAATTTATATTCATTAAATAAAAGTTAAAAAAAGAAAGAAAATAAAAGGAAAAGGAAAAACTGATAGCATCATGAAAGGGATTCAGATAGATCTGGTATAAATTACAGCTTGGATGAATGCATGCATGGGAAAAAGTTATTTGAAGAGTTCATGGATCAGCATGGGGCAGAGTGGGGTGTTGTATGTCAGGGCTTGGGGAGCACCCGCTGGGTCCTGAACGCATGTTACAGACACTGGAAGTGGCCCTCTTCCTTGTGGTCCTGTCCCCGTGGTCTGTGCCAGTGCCAGGAGAAGGCCAGCCAGTCAGGACAGCCCTTTTCTTTATTTCATTCTTCTGATCCCAGCCTCCATCTCTTTCTCTCCATCTCCTGTCTGCTCGGAGATTTCTGTAGTTTCTTATTTGTAGTACATTGACAGCATGTCAGGACAAGTTTATAAGGAGGAACTGAGGCACAATGAAAGCATAAATCAGTAACAGATAACACAGAATACGCTTGAGATCTAGAAAAAGGAGAGGTCAGCATCACCCTTCCCTTCCTCTGCTTCATCCCGCACTTCCAGTGATGAGCAGATGGACTGCCTGACTCCATGCAAAGCTGCAACTCCTCTGCGAGTGAAGCAGACAAGTCTCATGCACATTCTCTTCCACTAGTGTTTTTGTGGACTGGATTGTGTTGACGGGAATTTTACACTCATTTCTTTAATGCTGCCACCAAAAGGTGGCTCCACAGCTCTGGTGCTGGTTTTCTTATTTATATTTAACCTTAATTTTTTGTGCTTTATGATGCCAAATTGAGAATAAATCACCTCTGGACTTTAAGACTCATACTTTTCATTATATCCTTGCTGCACTTTCTTCACTTCCATGGGCAGTGACACAGTGTCAGCAAAATCACAGACCTGTGTCTGTGGGCACCGCAAATGTCTTTCTCTCTGACACAATGGTTTTTCAGGGTGGTTTTGGATACTATTTAGGGTGAACCATGATTCATCTCAGAGGGCTGAACATTTTCTAAAGCCAACTTCTTGGCATAATTCATGAATTCATACTTTTATTAAAAAAGATAAATCAGTGAAATCTCAATCACTTTATAACTGGAAGCGAAAGTGAATATGATCCAAATATTTTCAATACATCTTGATAGTAAAAAAAAGATATGTAACAGCAAAGTCCAAAATATTAAATTAAGATAAAACTATTAAATCTGCTAAGATGATCTAAGGCAGATGTTGGAAAACAGTCACGCGCTCCTGTCTACTTTTATTCAGTGTTCCGTGATGACTGACTTCGAGGAAGAGAAGTGTAAGAACAAAATTTTAGCTAGCAGCTGAACTAGCCTTTCAATTAAATTTATAATGAATACCTTCCTACTGGCAGAGAAATCACTCGTGTTCATTGCCAGACTAAAAGAAGGTGATACACTGAAGTTTGTTAACAAATGAAAAAAGTCTTTCTCAGATTTTGTTGGATCAAGATTAGATGACTAGCAACAGAATCCGCATACATCAACACTAAGCGAAGTTAATTGCTAACGTCAGCCTGGGCTGGAAGATACTCTCTTTTGAGACTATGGGAATCTCCTGCTAAGTGTACCAGGATACCAGCAGGAAATGATTCTGTCCATCTGATTTCATCCCAAGGGTAGCAAAGTCTTTTTATATAAAAAATGTTTACTTATTTATTTGAAAGGCAGAGAGACACAGAGAGATCTCCAATCCAGTGGTTCACTTCCCAAAAGCCAGGTTGGAACTCAAACTGGCCTCCCAGGTGAGTGGCAGGAACCCAACTACTTGGGCCATTACGTGCTGCAGCACAGAGATGTGTATGAGCAGGAAGCAGGAGCTGAGCCAGGACTTGAACTCAGACAGACATGGGATGCAGGCATCCCAAGTGGCAGCTTAACCATTTGCACCAAATGTCCATCCCTTAGTTTAGCAAAATCTTGAGAAGTTTGCACTATGAAATACATTGTCTTAGTTATCCACATAATTCTGAAAGCAAGAAATCTTAATATGCTATGAATTTTATTTTTCCCAATTCTTTCCAAAAACACAGTTATTATTAATGTAAGGTGAACTGCAAATTTTATAGGTGATGGGCATTACCCACAATGAAATTATGAATTTGTACTTCAGTCATGTAAATTCAGTCCCACCTGGGGTTTTGCTCAGGAAATTGGCTTCTGCTGCTTTCCATCAGTTACATTGAATGGCTGTAGCAGAGTGATACACAACTCAAAATATATGTGGTTGCTTAGATAAAACTTGCCTAAGATTCACTGCAAAGGACAATATTTTTATCAACTTCATTATAATATTGAGGGTATTATTTTCCTTTAGCATATAACCAGGATACTTACTTTACCCCACCACTTTGCAGTGGTAAACTCAGTCCCAGTGACCCTCTATTTTCTTCAGAGGAAAGTAAATCCTAGGTTGCTTGAAAAACTGTCATTCTCTTTCAAGGGGCCTAAGGAAGATTTCTAGTCCAGGAACCCCTAGCATTTTCAGGCTGCATCTTTGATAGTGAGGAGGTGGAAGGAGGGAAGAACAGTGACAAAGAACCACGGCCCAGGGGACATGGGACGACAGCAGTGCAGTCAGGTGAAGACACATGGATTAGACCAGACAAGGAGAAAATGTTGGGAAGTTAGAAGGGGACATAAAAAACCTGAAAGATTTAACTTGAGAAAGAAAGTTGGAACCACAAGAGGCATGAAGAGTGGTAGTCCAAGAATTTCTATATATAAGAGGTACAGGGGGACAAAAACCCAGTCTTTTCAAAATGCAGTATAGTCTTGAAGCTGCATTTTTAATAGCAAGCACACTGTTTATATTTAGATTGCATGCTAGAGATAAATCAGGATACTAACATTTTAAGGGACAGTTTTATTTATATTTTACTTTGGACCATGAAAAATATATTTACATACTAAAAATATAATTATCAGTTTGGAGGTGTCATTGGGAGGCAGATGAGTATGATGGGATAATGGCTAAGGCTGTTGTCTCTGCTGAGGAGTTGACATGCCAGAATTCTAAGTCTTTTAAGAAAATTTTCCTTAAGTAAATAAAAAAAGGTGAGAAGGCATTCTTTTTATTGAACCACTTTTATGAATGTATACAGTTTCTCTATTGAGACTATAGTAACAAAATAAATAGTGGAGAATAAAAACCCTTGCCCACCCAGCTTAGTTTTTGTTTTGAAGCCATTTCCAGCAAACTTTGGGATTTTTCATAAATTCTATGTGATACTGGATGTAACTATGAATTCTTGAAATCTATCACACAGAGCACCACCATGAATCACACTACTAAAGCTGACTACCCTCCTCCAAAAGAGAGTGAATACAAACCTAGAGCCACAAATGGTTTCAGAGACAAAAAAGCAACAGTTATTTATGAAAAGCAATGTGTGAAGTAGATTTCAGGAATAAAAAAAAAAACTATTGTTCCAACCATATGATCTTGTAAAATGGCACACAGTGCTGGGAAAAGTTTTATTGCTGTCAGTGTGCTGTCCCTTTGCAGTGGGTAACATGTCCGCACTGTGACTTCCATACACAGTGTCTGCCATCTCACTTCAGCTGGTGGTGTGGAAGGCACCAGTCCTCTAGTGTTCATCAGTGATCTGAATATATGTCAGCTATGGGCCCTGTTGTTAACAGAGCAAGAGCTGACAGCTTGAACGCTAGAAGAGGAAAGAAACAAAATAAAACAGATGTCAAAAAAAAAAAAAAAATCCTGTTCTTGCTTGGACGTAACTAGCATGCTGAGGAATCAATTTTTGCTAAAGAGAATATATTTCTGTCTGTTTCCTACCTGCTCCTGAGGATCTTTGGATAATATATGTAGATATTATCCCCCTCTGCCACAAAAAACTATCATGCACAGTTTTGTCCCCAACTCAAAACCAAATATAAAAATTGTTATCTACAGCATTTTCATTCTAACAAAATGTGTTTCTTCCTTAGTGACAATGCTTCTCACATTTGGAGGACAATATCCTTCCAGGAAGTCAGAGTAATGAGAGAAAAATTTCGAGCTGCAGCTACAAACCACTGCCCATGCGTGTCCACTGTGCATATGAGACTACCCTCCACAAATGGCCTTTAAACTGCATTATTGGGAATATTTTTAATGATAAAAATAAGTCTCTAATATTATTTTATCGTCACCTCATTTACAGTAGAGGGCCCTGCAAACAGTCTTCATTTAACAAATTCTACTAATTGATTATCCAAGGACACAGCAGTTGAAAACTTATGTTGGAGGTTGAGAATGAGAGTGAAATAATTTATGAAACCAATTATAAATTAGAGAAGATAATAAAGAACCATTCAAGGCTATCAATTGTCATTTCTGTTTTCATCCATTTTGCATCTGTGAATTCCATAAGGGCTGTAACCCTATCAGGTTCCTCTCTGATAAAACACCACTGCCCAGCATAACGGACAAGTTGTGGTGTCATGGGTCAGCTTCATGGCTATTCGACCTATACAGTCTCAAAAGGACTTACAATTGGTTGAATGCTTTGCTATCATTACCTTGAAAAACTGAATACTTTTTAAACAAAGACCCTGTCTTTCCATTTTTGTACTCATCTCTATTAATTGTATAGCTGGGCCTTCACTCAGTAAATGTATTGCATGGTTAAAAACCAAATTAACAAAAGCAATAATTATCTAACTTGCTCATTCAAGAGATTCCAAAAATTTCCACTGTTTTTGGAACTCTTGAAAGTTAGCCACTATAAAATCCCTAAAAATTAATCCAGCCTAAATAATATATAGGTAGTATACTTTCCTATAAGTCATTTAGCACATGTACTTCATGAATGATTAGCAATATAATATTTAAATATTGTCAACCTTATGAGTGATTTCTATTTTAAAAAAGAATGAAAAGTATGGATCTATATGTTATCTCTATATATTTCAATGTAACATTTTTGTTCATATTTTCTCACCACATTTTGAGGTATCCTAGTCATGATTTTTTTTTTTTTTTTTTTTGGACAGGCAGAGTGGACAGTGAGAGAGAGAGAGACAGAGAGAAAGGTCTTCCTTTTCCCATTGGTTCACCCTCCAATGGCCGCCGCAGCCAGCGCGCTGCGGCCGGCGCACCACGCTGATCTGATGGCAGGAGCCAGGTACTTCTCCTGGTCTCCCATGGGGTGCAGGGCCCAAGCACTTGGGCCATCCTCCACTGCACTCCCTGGCCACAGCAGAGAGCTGGCCTGGAAGAGGGGCAACCAGAACAGAATCTGGCGCCCCGACTGGGATTAGAACCCGATGTGCTGGTGCCGCAAGGCGGAGGATTAGCCTAGTGAGCCGTGGCGCCAGCCCCTAGTCATGATTTTTAAAATAGATACACATCAAGAGGAAAGGAGATAACACAGAAAGGAATGGCAATCTTATTCATTCAACATTTGGTAAATATTTATATTATTATATCAGCTGCTGAGGTCCGGAATAGAAAATAAAAGGAATTGTAAAAGACACATGAGACTCAATGATTGTTTTAAAAAATTGACAATCTACAAGGGAATCAAAGAAGGCAAAAAGGAAGACAAGAATGTGATGCTTCCAAACCACAATTAATATTTGTCAAAAGGCAAAGTGTATGAGTCAAACATTCACAAGTGAAGATATAAAGCAAAAAAGGTATGGAGTTGAAAGGTCTAAGATTACCTTAATCATCTACTGCTGGACTGATAATCTGATCACTCTGTTGAATGAGCTCAACTGAAGAGTAATGCACACTATAAAACTAAAGTAATTTGGGCAATGCGTTTTTTATATACATATAAAGAGGTTAACTGATGAGTAGACTGCACAGACAAAATATGCTTTATTGAAGAATTTAATGCAATGGTACTCCATAAAGCTCATAGGAAAATAAAATTAAAAATATGAATTTGGGGGCAAGCATTTGGCGTGGAGGTTAAGATGCTGGTTCAGACTCCCACATACCCTATCACAGTGGGTCTGTTACTTGCAGCCAGCTTCTGACTTCAGTTTCCTGCCAATGCACACTCTAGGGACAGTGGTGAAGACTCAAGTAGCTGGGATCCTGCCACTCACGTGGTATAGCTAGACAGAGTTCCCAGCCCCTGGTTTCAGCCTCAGCCCATCTCTAGCTGTTAAAGGCATCTGAGGAGTGAACTGCTAGATGGCTGGAGTTGGTCTGGTCTCCTTTCTCTCTCTCTCTCTCTCCCCCTCTCTCTCTCTCTCTCTCCCCCCTACAAATATACAAATTAAAAATGTTTTAAAAATATGTGCTTAATTTTCTTGGTACAAAAAAGTTTTTCATGATTCATGAAAAATGTATATTATGAAAAAAACTGCATGAATTTATAAAGAATTTTACAACAAAATAAGCTTCATTTTTATAACCTTTTTAATGTATCCTTTATTTTACATAGGAGGCATAAGCATACTGAATTAGAATTTTGAGCATTAAAAAAAGGTGCTGGAAAAATTGTTGAGGAAAGCATACAGCTATACATATAATTTAATTCCTTACCAAAATAAATTCCAAATAGGTCAAACACTTAAATCTAGCAAACTAAAACTATGGAAGTACCAAAAAATTATCTGTAAGCATTTTTCTACAAGCCAGAAAAGTGTTCTTTATCATTATTATTTTAAAAATTCCTTATTTATACAAAAGGAACAAATTTGATATATTTCATATATACAGTTTTAAGAGTATAATGATATTTCCCACATTACCTACTCTCTCTCCCTCACTCACACCCTTCTTTTTCCTTCCTTTCAGATTTTTATACTTTAAATTTGCTTAACCCTCTACTAAATAAAGAATTCAACAAGTAGTAAACACAAAACCACTATTCCTCAAGAGCATAGACGTGGGCTATAAACAAAAACCAAATCTCAAAATGTCAATTCCATTTATATATATTACATTTTTTGTACTCTGTGTATTAGCTACCACAAGTCAGGAAAACAAATAATACTCGTCTTTTTTGGACTGACTTATTTCACCATAATGGTTTCCAGTTGCAATCATTTTGTTGTGAAAGACAGGATTTCATTCTTTTATACAGCTCAGAAGTATTCCATCTTGTTTATATATAAACACCACAATTTATTTATCCCATATTCAGTTGATGAACATCTGGGTTCATTATATATCTTTTTTATTTTTTATTTATTTATTTATTTATTTTGACAGGCAGAGTGGACAGTGAGAGAGAGAGACAGAGAGAAAGGTCTTCCTTTGCCATTGGTTCACCCTCCAATGGCTGCTGCGGCCGGCGCACCGCGCTGATCTGATGGCAGGAGCCAGGTACTTCTCCTGGTCTCCCATGGGGTGCAGGGCCCAAGCACTTGGGCCATCCTCCACTGCACTCCCTGGCCACAGCAGAAAGCTGGCCTGGAAGAGGGGCAACCGGGACAGAATCCGGAGCACCGAACAGGACTAGAACCCAGTGCGCCGGCGCTGCAAGGCAGAGGATTAGCCTAATGAACCGCGGCGCTGGCCCATTATGTATCTTAACTATTGCTAATTGAACTGCAATAAACATGTAGTACAGAAAATTCTTTCATATGCTGATTTTATTTCCTTTGGAATGGAATGGTTGGGTCATATGGTAAATCTATTTTCAGATTTCTGAGGAATCTCTATATTGTCTTCCATTATGGCTGTATTACTTTACATGTCCATCAATATTGTATTATGGTACCTTTTCCCCCACATCCTAACAAGCATTTGTGATTTTTTTTTTTTACGTTTGGATAACAGTCATTCTAACTGGGGTGAAGTGAAACCTCATTGTGGCTTTTTATTTGCATTTCCTTGATGGCTTGTGATTCTGAACATATTTACATGTGTCTGTTGGCCATTTGTATTTCATTCTTTGAAAAATACCTGTTGCTATCCTTAGAAAATTTCTTAACTGGGTTTTTTTTGTTATATCCTGGATATTAATCCCTTTTCAGATATAGAGTTTGCAAATATCTACTCCCATCCTGTTGGTTGCCTGTGCTTCTGGGGTCTTATCCAAGAAGACGTTGCCACTGCCAATGTCTTACTGTTTCTCCCATGTTTTCTTCTAGTAGTTTGAATGTTTTAAGTCTTAAATTTAGATCCTTGAACAATTGTGAGTTGACTTTTGTAAAGAGCATAGGGGTCCTGCTTCATATTTCTGGATGCAAAGATCCAGTTTTCCCAAAAACATTCGTTGAAGAGTAATTTTAGCTCACTTGTCAAAGATTAGTTGGTTATAGATGCATGGTTTATTTTCTGGGTTCTCTAATCTATTCCATTGGTGCACATGTCTGTTCTTATGCCAGCTGTTCTGATTGTAACTGCCCCGTAATATGTCTTAAATCAGGTATTATGATGCCTCCAGCTTTATTTTTATTGTTTAAGATTGCTTTAGCTATCTGGGGCATCTTGTGATTCCATATGAATTTTAGGGTCATGTTTTTCCCCAGATCTGAGAAGAATGTCTTTGATATTTTGATTGGGATCACACTGAATCTATAAATCACTTGGGATACTATGTAAAGTTTGTTGCTAATAATTCTTCCAAGCCATGAAAATGGAAGATCTTCCTAATTATCTTTGTGTGTGTCTTCTATTCTTTATTGTTTTATAATTTTCATTGTAGAGAAAGTTCACATCCTTGGTTGAATTTATCTTAAGGCATTTAAATTATTATTTTTGTATAGAAAAAATATATTTTTTAAACTTTTATTTAATGAATATAAATTTCCAAAGTACAGCTTATGGATTACAATGGCTTCCCCCCCATAACGTCCCTCCCACCCGCAACCCTCCCCTTTCCCACTCCCTCTCCCCTTCCATTCACATCAAGATTCATTTTCGATTCTCTTTATATACAGAAGATCAGTTTAGCATACATTAAGTAAAGATTTCAACAGTTTGCTCCCACACAGAAACATAAAGTGAAAAATACTGTTTGAGTACTAGTTATAGCATTAAATCTCAATGTACAGCACACTAAGGACAGAGCTCCTACATGAGGAGTAAGTGCACAGTGACTCCTGTTGTTGACTTAACAAATTGACACTCTTATTTATGGCATCAGTAACCACCCTAGGCTCTTGTCATGAGCTGCTAAGGCTATGGAAGCCCCCTGAGTTCACCGACTCTGATCATATTTAGACAAGGCCATGGTCAAAGTGGATGTTCTCTCCTCCCTTCAGAGAAAGGTACCTCCTTTGATGGCCCGTTCTTTCCACTGGGATCTCACTTGTGGAGATCTTTCATTTAGGTGTTGTTTTTTTTTTTTTTTTCCCCAGAGTGTCTTGGCTTTGCATGCCTGAAATACTCTCAT